CATTCCCAGGATCTCCCTGACCACGGGACCATTCCCAGGATCTCCCTGACCACGGGACCATTCCCAGGATCTCCCTGACCACGGGACCATTCCCAGGATCCCCCTGACCACGGGACCATTCCCAGGATCCCCCTGACCACGGGACCATTCCCAGGATCACCCTGACCACGGGACCATTCCCAGGATCACCCTGACCACGGGACCATTCCCAGGATCTCCCTGGCCCCAGGACCATTCCCAGGATCACCCTGGCCCCAGGACCATTCCCAGGATCTCCCTGGCCACGGGATCATTCCAAGGATCTCCCTGACCACGGGACCATTCCCAGGATCTCCCTGACCACGGGACCATTCCCAGGATCTCCCTGACCACGGGACCATTCCCAGGATCATCCTGGCCACGGGACCATTCCCAGGATCTCCCTGGCCACGGGACCATTCCATGGATCATCCTGACCATGGGACCATTCCCAGGATCTCCCTGGCCACGGGACCATTCCCAGGCTTTTCGGGAGCGCTCTCCTCCTTTTCCGGCCCTTTCCGGGCCCGTTACCTTCTCGTTGAGCAGGATGAGGCCGAGCAGGGGCCGGCTCATGGACCACTGGTTCCGGCAGTCCTCGAAGATGATGATGTTCAGCACCGTGGAGAGCATCTGCCGCGGGCAAGCAAGGGTTAACTCACGGCATCGATCCCATCCCAAATCCCACCCCATGGATCCCATGGATCCCATCCCAAATCACATCCCATGGATCCCATCGATCCCATCCCAAATCACATCCCATGGATCCCATCGATCCCATCCCAAATCCCATCCTGATCCCATGGATCCCATCTCAAATCACATCCCATGGATCCCATCGATCCCATCCCAAATCCCATCCTGATCCCATCGATCCCATCCCAAATCCCACCCCATGGATCCCATCGATCCCATCCCAAATCCCATCCTGATCCCATGGATCCCATCCCAAATCCCATCCTGATCCCATCGATTCCATCCGAAATCCCATCCCAGGGATCACATCGATCCCATCTCATAGATCCCATAGATCCTATCTCATGGATCCCATCCCAAATCCCATCCCAGGGATCCCATCCCAAATCCCATCCTGATCCCATTGATCCCATCTCATGGATCCCATTGATTCCATCCCAAATCCCATCCCATGGACCTCATGGTTCCCATCCCAATCCCACAGACCCCATCCCATGGATCCCATGCCAATTCCACCCCATGGATCCCAATCCCACCGATCCCATCCCAAATCCCATCCCATCCCAATCCCATTGATCCCATCCCAAATCCCACCCCATGGATCCCAATCCCATCGATCCCATCCCAAATCCCATCTCATCCCAATCCCATGGATCCCATCCCATGGATCCTGTCCCATGGATCCCAATCCCATGGATCCCATCCCAGATCCCATCTCATCCCAATCCCATGGATCCCATGTATTTTTTCCCCCCCAGGTGTATTTTTTGGTGTCTCTCAGGTACATTTTTCCCCCGCAGGTACATTTCCCCCTCCCCAGGTGTGTTTTTCTCCCCCCCAGGTGTATTTTCCCCCCCCAGGTGTATCCTTCCCCTTCCCCAGGTGTATCTCCCCTCCCCAGGTGTATTTTCCCCTTCCCCAGGTATATTTTCAGAACCCCAGGTATATTTTTCCCCTCCCCAGGTGTATTTCCCCCCCCCAGGTGTATTTTCCCCTCCCCAGGTGTATTTTCCCCCCCCAGGTGTATTATTTTTCCCCTCCCCAGGTGTATTTTTTTGAACCCCAGGTGTATTTTTCCCCTCCCCAGGTGTATTTTTCCCCTCCCCAGGTGTATTTTTCTCCCCCCCAGGTGTATTTTTTTGAACCCCAGGTGTATTTTTCTCCCCCCCAGGTGTATTTTCGGAACCCCAGGTGTGTTTCCCCCTCCCCAGGTGTATTTTTCCCCTCCCCAGGTGTATTTTTCTCCCCCCCAGGTGTATTTTTCTGAACCCCAGGTGTATTTTCGGAACCCCAGGTGTGTTTTCCCCCCCCAGGTGCGGACCTGCTGCACCATCTCGGGGTGCTGCTGCATGATGTGCAGGAAGCGGTCGCTGTCCTGCGCCAGCGCCGTCGATCTCTTCTTGGAGCTGCGCGAGAGCTGCTTGAACAGGTACGTGACGATGTGGTCCAGGCACGAGCAGCAGCCCGTGCACACCATGGTGTCTGGGGAACGGGAAACGGAAAAACCGGGAAAAACGGGGAAAAATGGGAATGGGAAATGGGGAATGGGGAATGGGGAATGGGGAATGGGGAATGGGGAATGGGGAATGGGAAATGGGGAAC